CTGAGTAACTGTCTCCCATAACTCTATGGTCTTTACAGTGGGCAGAATTTGACCATGTCCCCCAGGGAACTTTCTGATTGTTTTTAGAAAAATTAATGTTATTACAAGTTTCACCTAAAACATACATTGTGGTGATGGTTACACAACTCTGAATGTACTAAAAACCATCGAGCCGTATAATTTAGTTGGGAGGATATCATGGTACATGACTTATATCTCAAGAAAGCTGGTAAAAAATTTTTAATGCTGATATTAAAAAGTAATTATCTTTTTTTTAAAAAAAAAACAAGGTGACAAAAGTACATCCCATGCCCAGATGTTTTTTTTTTTTTTTTGAGACAGAGTCTCACTGTGTAGCCCGGGCTAGAGTGCCGTGGCGTCAGCCTAGCTCACAGCAACCTCAAACTCCTGGGCTCAAGCGATCCTCCGGCCTCAGCCTCCCGAGTAGCTGGGACTACAGGCATGCGCCACCATGCCTGGCTAATTTCTTTCTATATATTTTTAGTTGTCCGATTAATTTCTTTCTATTTTAGTAGAGACGGGGTCTCGCTCTTGCTCAGGCTGGTTTCGAACTCCTGAGTTCAAACAATCCGCCCACCTCGGCCTCCCAGAGAGCTAGGATTACAGGCGTGAGCCACCGCTCCCGGCCCCAGATGTTTTTTTTTTGGTAGACGTGTAGTGTCAAGTGTGAGCCGGGGCTGTGGAAGCTGGGCAGCAGTCCGCCCCGGTAGGCCTGGCCCCTCTGGGGAAGGGCCAGGGGCACACACAGCCCCCGCCTTCAGCGCCTCTCGCCTGACCCGAAGTCAGCGAGAATGACAAAAATAGCTTACTGTCAACACTGCTGGTGTACGGCGTACATGTTTTTCCATATAAACCCTGCACCTTAATACGTGTGTGCAAATATATCCTGTGTACAGTAGCTCACACTATATAAGAATGCTAAATATAATTCATAATACTATTTAATTTTATCACTTGTTTTTTGACTGTGTGTGTGGATGAATTTTGGTAAGTTAAGTGTTCGTGTGATGGGACCCTACTTACTGTTTAGGAATCGAACATTCTTTTCATCGAAGTTTAATCATTCATTCTGTGTTGACTCGAGTCTAATCTTAATGACCAGAGATGTTACAGGTGGTTTTGTGTATGACCATGGCCAGCCCTTGGCTATCTGCGGGGCAGGCTGTGCTTTTGTCTCTGGAAGAACTCTGATCCTGATCAGACCTTTTTCTCATCCCAGCAAAACGTAATCGGGAAAATAAATCTTTTAACCCTCACAGCTTTCATCCCATGCCCAGTGGTTAGGGGCATTTAAATCCCGAAGTCAGATCTCCTTGGTTCCGCTCTGCCTCTGGGCGAGTCCCAGCTTCCCCAGGCTCCTGTTCCAGGTGAGAGGAGGAGGGTTGTGGGCCAACCTCGAAGTCTGCTGAGGGCTTGGCTGACATCTGCGTGGCAGTGCCTGGAACGTGGCGAGTCTCGCAAGATTAGCTACCGCTGTGTTCTGAATGTTCCCGTCCCCCTAAATTCATATGTCGAAGTCCTCGCCCCACCAAGGTGATAGTATTGGAGGCGGGGCCTTGGGGAGGTGATCAGGTTGTGGGGTGGAGCCCTCATGAGTAAAGTTAGTGCCCTTATAAAAAGCTGTGGAGAGACCCTGCACCCCTTCTAGGAAAGGGCCCTCACCAGACGCCGAATCTGCCAACACCTTGATCTCAGACTTCAGCCCCGAGAACTGTGAGCAACAAATTCCTGTTTGTTTATAAGCCGCCCAGTCCGTGGTATTTTGTTACGGCAGCCCAGGCACAGCGAGACAGGCACCGTGAATATGCCTGAAGCCCAGGAACTTTTTTACGACCTGTGCT